GTTAGGACTCCAAAGATAGGAACCTCCTCACTATACGAGCCGTGTCAAGGAGGACTGCCTTCTGCATCAGACCCTTGATCCAGCCATCCAACGTGAGCCTCTTAAGGTGTTGGTCGAGGCTCTTGGCTATCAATCCATGAGCAGATACGACTATCGGAACAATGATCACTGAATCAACATTCCACATATCGACAATCTCATGAGATAAATCCAAATATTTAATTTGTTTTTCTTTTTCAACTTTCACGAGATTCTCGTCATGAGGAACGGCGATATCAACAATCATTGCGCGGCGCTCTAATCGATCTATCAACACAATATCAGGCTTATTGGCAACAATAGTCCTGTCTGTGATAATAGATCGATCCCAATACAACGTGGCCCGACCATTCTCGAGAACTGGGTCGGGCACATACCTATAGTATGGCACCTCTAGATTCACAAGATGGTATTTAAGGGCAAGCTGTTGGTGTACGATCCTGGCTACTTGGTTGTGCCTGTGCAAATATTCTCCGTTAGCAAGACGAGAACAACCAGAAATAATATGCCTGATTGATTCGCCAGGACGGTGGCATGCCCGACAGATGTCAACCGTACCATCTTTCAGGATATATTTCCGATAGTTATTCGTCATGATAACTTCGTCCATAATCGCACAAACAAAACCTTCAGTTTCTCCAAAGAGATCACCATGCCGTAGCCAAGTCGTAGATGCTTTTAAATCTATATCGGACCCGTTTAGGGCCCGATAAAACCGACCATGGAGCTCTTTGCCCTTCCATACTTCCCTGCGATCATTAACACCAAGTACTACAGGTCTGCGCCAATTCTCTTTAGCCAGAGCGAGCGGGGTGAAGCCGGTATCCACTGCAACTACATTGCGATGCACTCCCACGTCGGTATGTAGAAAATATTCTCTGAGATTGCATACCTCGCGATTATGTAGGGTCTTGATATTTAATAGACCGCGACCCCCAAGCTTTCGCGGGATATACAATCTCATAACTGATGAACGTGGGTGGTGCATTCGGGATGCAGTCAGCAGTGTGCGGACTTTCCTGTCAAGGGCATCTAATTCGGTCTGAGTCCATCTAAGTATACCAAAGGAATACATTAGAACCGGCATGACCCAACCATTGCAGGCTCGCACCTTGTTGCCCCCTGATAAAAGACTTTTAAGTACTTTTTTCAAGCGGCCAAAAAAGCGTTCCTGCAATGTTTGTTTCATGTTAGATTCTGGTATTCCCAACGACTGTGATATACCCAGATACTTGTAAGTTTCAGTGGCAGACAGAGATCTGAGTTTTGTTGAATCCAAAAGCTCTATTCCTTCAGATTCAACTATCACACCCTTCTTTACATACATGACTGCACACTTGTCTATACCAAATTCCATTTTGATAGAATTACTAAAGTTTTCCGTCACCTTTAGTAACTTTGTCAATTGTAATTTGTTGGAGGCTAACAGTTTCAAATCATCCATATAAAGAAGGTGAGATATAACTTGATCATCTTTCTGCAACCTATAGCCTAACCCTGAACCCTCTAATAAAGTGCTAAGAGGGTTCAAAGCCAGACAAAACCACAAGGGACTCAGACTATCACCTTGAAATATACCCCGCTCGATCTTTATTAGTACATCGTGTATCGCTGTCTGCCGACATCCTGGATAGCGAAGTACCGTTCTCCATTGCCCCATACATGACTTCAAGAAAGTGCACAGAGTTGTATCAATTTTATACAACTCCAGCACCTTTAAAAGCCATGTGTGTGGAACCGAGTCATAAGCCTTCTTATAATCTATTATTATTATTATTCTCTTTATTTACTTTATATACATATTATTTACATTTTTAAATATACACTTTATAAAAAAAATACATTTAAAAATATAAAAAATAGTAGACCACCGACATCAGGTACAGGGACCAAGACACCGGTGGTTAGGACTCCAAAGATAGGAACCTCCTCACTATACGAGCCGTGTCAAGGAGGACTGCCTTCTGCATCAGACCCTTGATCCAGCCATCCAACGTGAGCCTCTTAAGGTGTTGGTCGAGGCTCTTGGCTATCAATCCATGAGCAGATACGACTATCGGAACAATGATCACTGAATCAACATTCCACATATCGACAATCTCATGAGATAAATCCAAATATTTAATTTGTTTTTCTTTTTCAACTTTCACGAGATTCTCGTCATGAGGAACGGCGATATCAACAATCATTGCGCGGCGCTCTAATCGATCTATCAACACAATATCAGGCTTATTGGCAACAATAGTCCTGTCTGTGATAATAGATCGATCCCAATACAACGTGGCCCGACCATTCTCGAGAACTGGGTCGGGCACATACCTATAGTATGGCACCTCTAGATTCACAAGATGGTATTTAAGGGCAAGCTGTTGGTGTACGATCCTGGCTACTTGGTTGTGCCTGTGCAAATATTCTCCGTTAGCAAGACGAGAACAACCAGAAATAATATGCCTGATTGATTCGCCAGGACGGTGGCATGCCCGACAGATGTCAACCGTACCATCTTTCAGGATATATTTCCGATAGTTATTCGTCATGATAACTTCGTCCATAATCGCACAAACAAAACCTTCAGTTTCTCCAAAGAGATCACCATGCCGTAGCCAAGTCGTAGATGCTTTTAAATCTATATCGGACCCGTTTAGGGCCCGATAAAACCGACCATGGAGCTCTTTGCCCTTCCATACTTCCCTGCGATCATTAACACCAAGTACTACAGGTCTGCGCCAATTCTCTTTAGCCAGAGCGAGCGGGGTGAAGCCGGTATCCACTGCAACTACATTGCGATGCACTCCCACGTCGGTATGTAGAAAATATTCTCTGAGATTGCATACCTCGCGATTATGTAGGGTCTTGATATTTAATAGACCGCGACCCCCAAGCTTTCGCGGGATATACAATCTCATAACTGATGAACGTGGGTGGTGCATTCGGGATGCAGTCAGCAGTGTGCGGACTTTCCTGTCAAGGGCATCTAATTCGGTCTGAGTCCATCTAAGTATACCAAAGGAATACATTAGAACCGGCATGACCCAACCATTGCAGGCTCGCACCTTGTTGCCCCCTGATAAAAGACTTTTAAGTACTTTTTTCAAGCGGCCAAAAAAGCGTTCCTGCAATGTTTGTTTCATGTTAGATTCTGGTATTCCCAACGACTGTGATATACCCAGATACTTGTAAGTTTCAGTGGCAGACAGAGATCTGAGTTTTGTTGAATCCAAAAGCTCTATTCCTTCAGATTCAACTATCACACCCTTCTTTACATACATGACTGCACACTTGTCTACACCAAATTCCATTTTGATAGAATTACTAAAGTTTTCCGTCACCTTTAGTAACTTTGTCAATTGTAATTTGTTGGAGGCTAACAGTTTCAAATCATCCATATAAAGAAGGTGAGATATAACTTGATCATCTTTCTGCAACCTATAGCCTAACCCTGAACCCTCTAATAAAGTGCTAAGAGGGTTCAAAGCCAGACAAAACCACAAGGGACTCAGACTATCACCTTGAAATATACCCCGCTCGATCTTTATTAGTACATCGTGTATCGCTGTCTGCCGACATCCTGGATAGCGAAGTGCCGTTCTCCATTGCCCCATACATGACTTCAAGAAAGACTTTTGACTTCATTATTATTATTATTATAGTTTCATAATTATGTCAGAGAATATTCGAAGCTGTTTAGGAAACTTTGTAAATTGTCTAAGTCCGTTTTATAAGTTCAAAGATTATATGATAAGATTAAAACCACTTGGAAAATTAGTAACAATGAAACTGGAAAAAACAATACAGCAATAAGGAATTGAATCTGAATGTAAACAATAAACTCATTACATCAAGTGCTAAGGTTGCTGCCGCATTTGAGAAGTTTTTTTACCCATATTCCTGTATCAACTACTTAATCTTTGTACTCCTCACCATGCCTTGCAGACTCAATTTTAAAAGATAATGTTGGTGGGATTGTTAGTGAGTTACCGTTAGTGAAGTACCAATATGTTTCTCCCCTTGAAATTCTCAAGAGATATCGATATCATTTCTTAGTTTGTACTAATCGATTACAGTTTTACAGATTTATGTTATTCCAATAACGTACTTTATTGGATTAACATTGGATTCCAATTTTGGCCCTGCCTTTTTGTTCAGTTTATGTATGTTTTTCAAGTTGACGATAGATGACAGTCTATTCACAAAATGATTACTAAAACTTTAAATATATTGTTTTGGCGATTACGAATTCTCTAGGACTGAATGCAGAACAAACTTCATTGTTATCTGACTAAAATGAAGCTTTACGTACCTTTGTATTTTTAGTTTAAATTACACAAAGTTTAGTCATCTAGTGACGAATAGAATTAACTATACTTCAAAAAACACTAAGAGATCTTTCCAGAACTATCTCAATAAATTAAATATAAAATTATTTACAAACAAATAAAATGCGATGCCATCCATAGCAACGAAACGTCTATCCGAATTATTTTAACACGATAAAATACAAAATTTCATTCTTTCGTTCTTAATACCACGAAAATATACCGATTGGCGATTTTGCGACACAAGCGCACAGTACCGACGGTGAGTGTACTATTTTTAAGCCACGCCCACTGTGATGACGTCAGGACCTACTTACAATCTCAGTGCACAGTTTCTTATGCCCTCTCCTCTTTTTATCTGCTCCGTGGTTACGCCTATTCAAAGTTGTTTAGTCTTGAAAAGTATGAAACGTCAAACGGTACCTCTTAGATTAGATGGACTATAATTACTAAGACAATTATATCTCTTGTAATTGATCAATTGTCATTTACATTTAATCAATGTGTTGATAGTGGTGTATTTCCTGGTCTTATGAAGTCCAGTAAAATTATTCCTTTATTTAAGTCTAAGCTTGAACAAACAGTTTTATTGTTATATTTACTACGAAATGTTGTTGTACACAAAAAATATTCTTTGGCACTCAGAATCGACGATATCCAAGATAACTCTATCCTCCGGAGAGGTATTCCTGTAGCTCACTCCATTTACGGCGTGGCAAGCACCATCAATGCGGCTAACTATGCCATGATCATCGCTTTGGAGAAGACACAGGAGCTTGGACATCCTATGGTGAGATAATGGTGTCGATCCCAAAATATACCTATACCACTCGTAGAACAGATAAGGTATTTTCCTTTTCCCCTAATTCAAGGAATTGATTCGTTTATTTTTCTATGAACGAAATAATACTTTGACCCTGTAAAATAATACTAAGACCCAGTAAATCTTGAGGGCCCCAGGTTAGGTACCCGTTGCACTAGCAGAAGTAGGCCAAGACGGCGAGGTGACAAATCGACGCGGCCATCTGCTGTGCAATAGGTAGACAATTACACATCATCAACTCGCAGTTTGTAAGATTTGACTGTCCGCTTAAAAAAGTTTTTCTGAGTAATTATGTCGTGGAAATTTACGTAAGTACTATAAACCTACACTAACTACACCCAGACTCAGTACAATAATTCGTAAATCCCGCCAACAACACCTTTATAGAGAGATTGAAGCCACAAAACTCAATACTATACACTTGTAAATTTTAAAGCGTTTCCCTCTCAACTGCGGTAATGATCACTGATCCGCTCCCAAGGGCAGTAGCGTAATGTTACTTAGTTACTTTCTTTAACGAACATTTTACATCCAAAACAAATAAATAACACATCTAACTGATAATCCCGATGATTAGCAAAGCTCTTCAACGTTTTTATATTATCGATCTTAATTTCTTTTTCTTTATCAATTTTTATATTATTTTATTGACAGATATTTAGGATATATTTAAATATAGTTACATATAACTAAAGTTACTTATAGGTATATTAAATAACCCACCCCTGGTCGCTCCTGGCGCAAAGGTGCCCACCTCTGCACCCGAAACGATCATATTTTTTATATAATATCCTTCGAGAAAGTGTATAATAAACATTTTATTTATTCCAGGCGACTAAAGTGTATACAGAACAATTACTGGAGCTGCATAGGGGACAGGGAATTGAAATATACTGGAGGGACAACTTTCAGTGCCCTTCTGAAGAGGAATATAAAGAGATGACCATTAAAAGTAAGTGACAAATTATACTGATACGTTTATTCTACAACTTGTGTAAGTGAATTGTTTAGATAGTCGACTCTATTTTGTGTAACCTGACGTTATCTCTTCTTTTTTACTTTAATTAGTTGTAGCTACAAAGAGCAGACAGTAATAGGCTCCCTGCCCTATTACATTGAATTAAGCTGTAGGTGTGTACGTAGCACCTATATAAATCTAAGTGTAGTAACTCTCTAAACCGTGTGTACACAGGTGTAGTACAGGGCACTTCTGAATTTTGGTGTATGCAGAATACATGCACGATTTACTAACTAGAGAATTGAAAATGGAATGAAACTTCAGGATTTCTTTTCCTTGTGTCTTTCATCCTACAATCAATTAAATTATAGTCACCCCTCTATTGAACAGATACTCAGTGTTGAGAATTTTGTATTTATGTTTTGTAGAAACTGGCGGCCTGTTCATGTTAGCGATCCGTTTGATGCAATTGTTTAGCGAAAACAAGTCGGACTTCACTAAACTGTCGGCGATACTAGGATTGTACTTCCAGATTAGAGATGATTACTGCAATTTGAGGGTTCAAGAGGTAAGATCTTAATGTTTTGATAGTGAATGGCATAAAATTACCGAGGACATCGAACAGAGGCATTACACCAGTTAACCTGGTACCACCTGTTACTGGGTAGGTTGGTACCTACCCTCTCTAAACGCTAAACGCTCTAATATACACTACCTTATAACCTGATGGTTATAAGGTAGTTTATATTAGAGCGTTTAGCAAGACCGATTTAAAGAATGCGGCTATGATACTTCAAGAACGTTTCTCAAGCGTGAAGCAAAACATCGCTCTCTTGCGCTCGCAAGGTTCTTAAACTAATCGTACCCCTTGCCCCAACCCCCCGGCCCCACCCTTCTCTGCTTTCGGTAATAGGACTGATCGGTAATATAATTTCGTTGGTAATAGTAATTTAATAATAATTTATGCAAAGAAGGTTTGAGCACTCATAAATCATCTTATACTTAATTTACTTGTTAAATCTTTTTCAGTATACGGAGAATAAGAGTTACTGTGAAGACTTGACGGAAGGAAAGTTCAGCTTTCCGATTATCCATGCAATCAGGAACCCGGAGGGTGACAACCAAGTACTTCGTATCCTTTACAAAGTATTTTAGCCTGATAGCTGACTACAAAATAGCTATGCAGTATAGAGGTTGTATATTAGGCGAGCATTAAAGGCAACTCATAATAGTACCGATAAACGTAATAAATAGTTCGTAAATAGCTTACTAGATGGCGTTTTAATACTTAATGTAAATTTATGCAGTCGCTTACTTTATTGAATAAACTTTGAGAAACATAAAGGTTCCTGAAGTCTGTTAATAATCGACTAATATATAGTGCATCCTTAAATCGTACTGTTAGATATTCTTCGTCAGCGGACTCGTGACGTTGAAGTAAAGAAGTACTGTATCACGATACTGGAGAAACTCGGCAGCTTTGCTTATACCAAAGAAACTTTGCAACGTTTAGACGAGGAGGCAAGAAAGGAGGTAAGATTTTAAGCACGATCTTAATGATTTAATTAATATTCACCGAAGTATAGAAAAAAAAAATAATCAAAGGTACCTAGCCTACTTTTAGCGGTTTTCCTGTGATTACCCGGTTATATGTATTTCTGTGTACACACCACTGTGTACACAAAACATAACCGGGTATTCTATAATATTAATGTAAATATTCCTATATAATCTACTCCTCTGCAAAAAATTAAGGGAGCAAAAAAAATTGTAATTTATTCACTGATTTTTTAAGGCTCAGATTTCTATGGAAAATGGTCATATCAAGCTCTTAAAAAAAGCATCTTAAAGCTCAAAATCCTAGTTTTTATATCTCATTGGCAAAAATTTTTAGAGGCGACAGTTATCGATTAATTCAGAGGAATAGCTCGAAAAAATGTTTTATAAAATTTTCCATGGTTTTTTTTTACCACGGGCTTGGTTTTCTTTTTACAATAAAATTATGGTTATTTGCTGAATTTAACTGGATAAAGTATTATAATTGTTATACAGGAGCATTTAATTGCATACATGTATTATTTATGTTATTACATTGCTAGTATTTCTATACAACAGGTGGATCGACTCGGCGGCAACCCACACTTAGAAGCACTATTAGACGACCTTCTCAGCTGGCGACAGTAGCCACAATACCTTTAGTCAGAACACTTTATAGACGTGACTAGACGAAGACAAACTTGAACCCCTAAGTTGACTTATTTAACTTTCTCTATAATCTAATATTTATGGGCTATATATATATATGACGATGACAACTAAAATCTTTTTTGTTTTCGTCACACGTTTGAAACAGTGGCATTTTAAAGGCTTGATTTTTTTTATAATGCAGTTTAACTATTCCGTGTATTTAATATGCTTAGAATCAGAATTTTAGATTTGAAATGCGGGTAAGTTGCAATAATTGTAATTCTAGTAAAAATATGACAGTATCAGTTGTTATATTGTGTTAAAGGTCCAATTCACTGGCTTAAATTTCATTTTAAACTGTCAACCGACAGTCAGTGAATAGTAACGTTTTTTTCTGTTTTCTATTAGTGTTAAAATATTTCTTTTGTTAGCACCTAGTTGCGTCTATGAGCCATTTTACCAAAACCAGTTGATTTATAGAGTAAAAGACATTATTTTAATTCTACTTTTCATTCTGAATATTAATGAATTTTTAAAATATTACATGTTTATTTCATATTTTGTTATTATGTTTTCTTACTAGTAATGCATGTTGGTTATAAGCTGGCTAGAAAACTAAAAAACATTCTGGAGTGTCCGTTCATCCACACTGAACTAAGGATATTAAAAACATTAAATTTGTTACGAAGTTTATCCTTACAAGAATAAACCAGTCCAATTAATTAAAAATCGATAAGTATTCGTTAGCTAGGCAGGTTGTAGCTAAAGAATTACGATTTTTATGAAATTAATATCTTAATGAAGAGTAAACATGATTTGTTTTTTTATTTAAATTATTTTGTAATTATTTTTTTATCATAGTGGTTTTTACAGAACCCTGCTTACAATTTTTGAACATTTAACAGTAATGTACAGCATAAGTTCTGATTATTTGTTTGTTGTTATAATAATTTTACATTCCATATTTACATTTTTAGGAAAAGGTGCTTAAATAGTTTAGACAGTAAAAGGCAAAACCCTGTTTTATAAGTTTAATCAAAATTAAGTTTTAGAACGTCTACTTATAAACGCATAATACAATGAGTAGTTTTTAAAGTGGTCCTTGTAGGCACCGCTCAGTGTTTACTTAGCCATCTAGCTACTAAGGTCATCTGTTTGTGTATGAAAACAGTTTTTACGAATTTTATTGATTTCTAGTAGTTCGTTCTAATTTTTTGTGTAGTACTGTGTATCTCAGTATATATACTGAGATACACAGTACTACACAACTACAAACTATATATACTGAGATACACAGTGTTACGAGAAGATATTATAAGAACGATTAAAAGTACTGAAAACAAAAAAGTATCAGGAGACATTTATATGTAGAGTTAAATTTGAATAAAGATAACTTTGTTCACAATAGGCCGGTTAGTGGCACCTTGATTTTAGTCGATGAAATAAAATTCGTAAAAATAGTTTTACAAATTTTGTTATGGATGTACATATATTGTTACCATAGTATAGGCTCTGCCTAGTTTGGGATCAGACGGCCGTGTGTGAGATGTCTGCGGTTATTATTATTATTAGTTTAAATTTTATAAACGTTTTGTTATTCTTAAACTAGAAATATTTGCCATGCAATCAATTTTATAATAACATTTAATATTGAATTCTTAGCTAGAGATCGTCGTATTTTAAAATGAACGCTACTTATTAGATGATGGGTAGGCTGAAATAATGGTTGTTAGTGATCTCGCTTTGGCGATAATGGATTAGTTTGTGTTGCTTCGTTGCTTCTTATAAGGGACGCACATCAGTCAATACTGGAGTGGCGTCCATTTTTAACTAGACGATCTACATAAGCATGTTCGTGAACCCAAGTTACTTAACTACTTTAACTGAACAATTCTAACTAATATTTTAGTGAAAGTAAATATATTTGTTCGTGACTACACAATCGATAAACATAAAGTTTTGCACACACACACATACATCAATAGACGTTAGGATTAATACCCTGTTGTGTACTGAGCCTAATAATATCTATTGATGTGTGTGTATGCACTATGTTCACACGTACACTATTTTTCAACAAAAATAATTACTGAACACGTTATCTTAGCTCTGGAGACATCGATACAAATCTGAAGTAGACACAAATAAGGTTCTTAATTCGTGCTATGGGAACCAGACTGCTGATAAACATACTTATATATTTTTAAATACATACATATTATAGATAAATTACACCCAATTAATTTAGTTTAATAATATTTTCTAGTAACCTGGTTACCATAGTACATGCTCTGCCTCATTTGGAATCAGACAGGCGTGTGTGAGATGTGTAAGATATGTTAGATTATTGAATTAATAATGACAACCATAATCGTTTTTAATTAGAGATTTTAATAAAGAAAATTTAAGTCTTGTTTTTTGCAAATGAATACCTGAAGATATTATTTTTATTCTTTTTTTAATTATTGGGAAATTGGAAATTTGAACATTGAAACACTAAATTTAATATAAACTGCAGAATACTGTTATTTTAAATCATGTGGAAACTGCTATAACAGAATATATGTATTATACAATGGTAATTCAACTTATTTTGGAACAAGGCTTAATTATATTACAATTTTTAGAATTTTGAACACCAGGCCCATTTGACCTAGGCGTAGAGCATGAACAGGTCTAGTGTTAATTAGCACACATATTTGAGCATCACTGCCACCCTCACGCCGAAGTAACTTGAGTTCATTAATATAAACTTACTGCTTTGTAAAATATATAAGCGTTTACTAATGCTTACTTAAGCCGCTTTGTACTTACGCAAACGAATGCTTAAATAGGATAAATTATTTTAATATTAATAAAACTATTGTTACGGATTATCTCGTTTTCTTTCAATAATTACCCGGCTTTTATGTATAAAATGGGGAAGGGGGAGGGAGGGGGGGGGGGGGTAAGTGAGGAAATTATCAACAATTTATTTTGTACCGAATGTTTACTTCCTATACTTAATAAAACGGTGATTAATCCGTAAAAGTAGTTTTTTAATTAAACGGTTCTTAATCACATACAATATCACTGAACCTGTGTAATAATTAAGTCGCTCCCAGATTGTGTTCTGATTATGATGTGGTTAGTCATAACGGCAGTTAAGCTTTATTATTGTCAAATTTATGTAATTACCGTCAGATTGTTTTTTAACTTATGATAGTTATAAGGGTAATAATCATCACTTTCATAATTCATCATCGTTAATTATTTCATTAATAAGGTTAATAAGATCGATGCGAGTAATAAACCTTTGGAATCATTGTTTTTTTTTTCTTATCGAATGTACTTTAGCGCAGTCGTGTCGTAGTCGTGCCATAAGACTCTGTTTTAAAGGTTATATTTAAAATTTATAAAAACCTTAATACCTAATAAGGTTTGATATTGGTATGGCTTACAACAATACCTACTTATACCTCTTCATAGAATCCATCAAACTTATGCCATAGTAATTGTATAAAATCTAAAATGCTAAATTTTTCGTAGCAAGATTAAAGGAGGTACACATTAAATCTAAGTAATTCGATTGTTGAAAAAACAAATTTTAAATGTATTCTTAGTGTTTAGAATTGCATAATTAATAATATAATTTAATTTTAATATTTTCTAGAAATACCTAATATTGAATAACAATAACACTTCATTTCTAGCTGCACCTATCGTGTACATACCTGTTTGTATGCGATATTGCAGAAAGTAGATAGATATCAAACCACCTCAGCTCTCGACTTTAATGCCTTTAGGGGCAGCTACTGTACCCCTTTAATTTTAACAGTATTTAAAGTAAGACCACAATAATAACAAAAACGCCGTGAGGGGTCTATGGGCCCCCGGTCGGAACGAAGTACCGCAAGTGTCGGAAAAAAGTCTTGTTACACTTTTTTCGTTTTCGCTCCCATCCGCTCAGAGCGTGTAACGCGCGATGAAGAACTTCGTTTCAAAAAATATTAAAAATATGTACATAAATCTCTCTCGTGGACATAAATCTTACTTCAATTTTACATTTAGAAAATTATTAATATTACATAGGATTATCTAATGTGCAAATGACGTTAAAACTTAAGACATTATCGCTAAATTTAATATAAAATTTGTAAAAGTAGTCAGTAGTAATTAGCTCAAATGTACTTAGTATAATGTATAATCAGCTGGCCAATAGCGACAATAAAGAAAATGTGTAATATCAAGATCGGTACTTTATATAGATAGTTATACAGCTGTAGAAAACTTATTTCTTAAGTATAAATTAAGGTTTAAAAACATTGTGTATTGTCTAGTTATTGTCGCTATATAAACAGAGGCAGTACCACGGAGCAAATAAAAAGAGGTGTTGTAATTAGATTTCCCTATAAAACAACGCGTGACAATTTGCGGGGTGCGGTAGTGTTAAGCTCCTCCCACTTCACTTTTTTCCATCTACCCAATAATAGCAAAACTACCCAAATTATTTTATATCGATGTTGCTATTTACTTTATGTATCTCACACTAGTCACACTAAGTGTAAGATGTAAGGGACGTACTCAGAATTTTCGTACATATTATAATCGTACTCACCTGCCTGATATTATAAAAGCGAAAATTAATGTGTTCTTCTGTTTGTCTGTCTGTCTGACTTATTCCACGCTATGTACTGGATTAATATGGAAAATATGGTATACAGCCAAATTGCGACCTGGATTAACTCATAGGCGCTGGGTATTGCTAGTGTGAGAATAAAGACTGCACGGAAGGCGTAGTGGTTTAAGCGGTCGCCACGCCGTTTACTACTACGCTGAGTGTTGTGGGTCCGATCCCCACCTGGGACAACACTGTGTGATCAACACATTGTTGTTCTGAGTCTGGGTGTTCTTTGTGTCCGTTTCATGTATTTGTAAAGTCCCCCGCGACACAGGATATTTTCCTAATGTGGTGTCTTAAAAAAAACTACTTTTGTGGTAATTTACGAATAACGATT